CATCCACCTTGGCTATTGGAACGACCAAAAGTCATTTTAAGACTGGCTGCTACACTAAATCTGACACACACCTCTTATACTATATAGAAAAACTAAATGATATTCTGGAACAATACCCAAATTGGGCCCACATATATACCGATGGCTCCAAAGTCAAAAACAAAGTAGGATGTGCGGCTATCTTTAAATGTACTGTTCTACAGAAAAGATTACCTAACAACTCCTCAATTTTTAGTGCTGAAATTACAGCCATTGATTTAGCTCTAGACCACATCACTAAACTTAAATCTAATAAATTCATTATTTTTGCAGACTCATTATCAGTACTCGAATCATTAAAAACCAAAAATTAAACAATCCTTTGCTCATAAAACTCCTACATAGAATACACGCGATCTCACAAAATAAAACCATCATTTTCTTTTGGATTCCCAGCCACTCTGGTTTTCATGGAAATGAAAAAGCTGATGTGGCTGCAAAAAAAAAAAAAAAAAAAAAAACTCTCTGAAACTTAACACAAGTAACATAAAGGTTCCATACACTGAATATAAACAACTAATAAATGACTTTATTTTGAAGAAATGGCAAGACGCTTGGAACAACTGTCAAAACAACAAATTATTTAAGATCAAACCCTCTCTAAAGAAACAACTAACTGAACACAGAAAATCACGCAAACAAGAAGTGGTTTTATCCCATATTCGCATCGGACACACGCACATAACTCACTCCTTCCTCCTAAAAGACGAAGATCCTCCTGAATGCATAACATTGCCAGGAGGTTTATACTGTGAAGCACTTCCTGCTTGATTGAGGTGACATGGCACATATGAAAACAGTGAATTTAAAAAAAAAAAGCAAGACAACATCAAAAAAGAAGGAAAGGAAAGGGAAAGTCTCTTTGAAAGCATTTCAACCTTATTTAAAGAAAAAGAAAAAAAAACTGTTTGACCTTAAATGATCTCTTGCTGATCGATGGCTCGTTAAATTTTAAACAAACAAACAAACAAACTATTGTCAATCTACGAGTAAAGACATCATGGATTGAACATACGAAGTACTAACTTGTTTACTCGGCCATGTTTCATTGGAAAAATACGAAAAAAAACCGTAAGTAATAAGGGAAATATTCGTTTTGTTTCAATTAATTTTCAAAAGATTGCACGTTAGCATCACGTTGCGACGTTTCTTAGAACAATGGTCGAAATGTAGCGGCGGTAAAACAAAAAATGACGACTGTGTTCCGAAAGTAAATAAATTAAATAAAGATTATTTCTAATTAGACATTATTTTTTTTATACCGCCAGGCATATATCTGTTTTTGTATATCAACGTTAATTTCGTCAATTTTCTTCGTAAAGCATCGTTACTTGTTGTCCGAGGCGGCACAATCGATCGTTTTCTTTTGCGTGGCATCCGTTATGAGATTTTTATGACATCGCCACAAATTGTTTTTCTCTTTTCGTTTCTTGTACTGATCGGATTAGTACATTTTGAATATTTAAAGTAATGTCTGATGGGGGCGAATTGGTGAGTACAAGACCGAAAGAATGTAGTTTCAAATGAAGACAAAGATGGCCTGGCACAGATTAAGGCCGGGACATTTACTCAGAGAAGTAGAAGGAAATCGAAACCAGAAGAAATGTTCGGAGAAAATATTTCATTACAATTCAGCACCAAAGGCAATCTATCTATCTATCTATCTATCTATCTATCTATCTATCTATCTATCTATCTCAGCCTGTTCATATCTATCTCTCAGTCTCAACCTATTGATATCTCTATATCTTTCTAGTCTTTTTATGTCAATCTATCTATCTTGTCTATTGATATCTATCTATCTATCTATCTATTTATCTATTTCTATCTATCTATCTATTTTCATTCTATTCTATTTACTATCCCGTTTTCATATCTATTTCTATCTATCTATCTATCTATCTATCTAATCTAATCGTTTTTATTTATCCTATTCATATTCTATCTATCTATCTATCTATCTATTTCCAGTCTGTTTCATATACCTATCTAGCTTTCCATTCTTCATCTATATCCTGTCTGTTCTATCTATCTATCTATCTATCTATCTATCTATTTCAGTCTGTTTCTATCTATCTAATCTAATTTCCATTCTATTCATATTACCTATCCTGTTCATATCTATCTATCTATCTATCTATCTATCTATCTATCATTTCATCTGTTTCTATCTATCTATCTAGTTTTTCATTCTATTCATATTTACCTATCCTGTATCTATCTATCTATCTATCTATCTATCTATCTATCTATCTATCTATCTAATCTAATCGTGTCTATGTATTTATCCTATTCATATCTATCTATCTATCTATCTATCTATCTATCTATCTATCTATCTATTTCCAGTCTGTTTCTATCTACCTACCTATCTAGCTTTCCATTCTATTCATATCTACCTATCCTGTCTGTTCATATCTATCTATCTATCTATCTATCTATCTATCTATCTATCTATTGA